TTTCTGAAGTGGCCTCCAGTCAAAAATGATTGCCCCTCCCATTTCAAGGTGGCATGCCAAGTCCATTACCGTGGTACCTGCACGCCTTACAACTGTATATCAAGTTTAAGAGTGGCCAGTCACAGCCCTGCCTCCTCTCTTCTGTTGTTCTCTCTAGCAGCCTAGTCTCTAAGATCCTGCACCCGACACAGCTACCCCCACGTTGCCTATACCAATGGAAACGTCCAGAGGGCAGCCCCTTGTGAGAATGCGCTCCGTGATTTCATACCTTGTCACTTCAATCACATCTTCCAGAAAAAACTGATCCACGGGGAACGTCCGACCTATGGGAAAAAGGAGAACGCTCAAGCGACAGGTGAGCTAACGCGTCGGGGCGGAGGGCAGCGTTTGCAACGCCGCACACGGGTGCTGCTCCCCTTGTCCCCCTTCCTGAATTGAACAGCACTAGAGAGGTTCTTTCAGCACTAGACTGCAATCGGTAACACAGCTCGGTCCAGAACAAACAGCTGACGGCATTTATGCCGTTCACACAAGGAGAAGTGCTGCCGCAAGGTAATGTGGTGCAGTATTAGAATGCCAGGAAGCGACATATTTCCAGCTAGCTAGGTATTTATATCACACTCAGTCGGATAGCTGAGCATTTTATAAATACGCATGCATCCAAAAAGGGGCCTACTTCCACCCCTGGCAGCTTGGTCCTCTCCCTAGTTACCAAAAGGGAGTATTTTTTCCTGCTGCGGGGAAACTATGCCTGAGAGCCAAGCCTTGCATCTCGTCTTGAAGATAATGTCTCTTGCCCTTCCTAGCTCTTGCGGGAGTTCCAGAGCTGTAGGCCAACCACCAAGGTGGCTCTGTCTCCATCTCCAGATGCCTTTGTCAGAGAAAAGTCCGTCAGTGTGACGATTGCCGCAACATCAGGCTGTCTCTGAAATAACTCCGGCCCCACACACGGAGAGTTGTGAGGCTCACAACCAGCACCTTCAGCTTGATCTGAGAAGGGATGGGCAGCCACTGACCTGCGCTAGTCAGCAGGCGGGTGGCTGAGCGTTGCCCTAGCTGGAGTGTTAGCAGCTGTGGGTTCATTCTCATATATAAATATAATGCAATATTGAAGGTCACAGCTGTGACCGGGTGTGCATCTGGCAGGATGGGACAGTATCTCCCGGGTGTGCATCTGGCAGGATGGGACAGCCAAAAGGATTAAAAGGGATTTTGTGCTGCAGTTGCTACTTGAGTCTCCAGTCTTAGTGGGGAACCAAGAGGACAACAGGATGGAAGACGCAGGCCCGGCTGAGACCAGCAATATGGAATAGTCTCACTCTTCCAAACATGCCCAACAGCATCAACTCTGCTTTACCTGATTTTAGCAGCAAACATCTGCTCTCCCTCCAGGCACTGTGTTTACTGGGGAAGCTCATTTGATAATGCTCCATCTAAAAAGTTTTATGAATTGCTTGTTTAAAACAAACCAAAGGAAGTTTTTCTTCATGCACAGCATGGTTGGCCTGTGGAACTCCTTGCCACAGGAGGTTGTGAAGACCAGGACTTGAACAGGGTTTAAGAAAGAGCTAGATAAATCCAAGGAGGCTAGGTCCATCAAAAGATGGGCAGGAATGGCATCCCAAGCCTGTTTGCCAGAGGCCAGGAATGGGTGACAGGAGAGGGATCACTTAAGGATTCCCAATTCTGTTCATTCCCTCTGGGGCACCTGGCATGGCCACTGTCGGCAGAAAGGACACTGGGCTGGATGGATCTTTGGTCTGACCCAGCGTGGCCGCTCTTACGTTCCAAAATCAGTTTTTAAAAAAAATCACAGCAAAGCATTTGTCTTCCCTGATTTTCTATATTTTAAGTGAATTTGGCTAAGCCAGCAATTCATAAAACATTTACTGATATTCAACAAGCGCTTTATCAATGGAGCAGAAGTCAGAGCGAATGACCAGGCATGGACACATTGGCAAACCTTGACACTGGAGACGATGCTAAGTACTGTCCAGGCAGTAAATCCCAATTTTGGTATCTCATCGACTGAGAAGGCAACAGCTGGACACATGGGTATATGCAGCACACTGTTCCTACCAGAGGAAGGTATTCTTGGTGTTGCTCTAAGCAGCAACCCATACTGCCCATAAAGCATCAATGCTAATAAAACTTCAGAGGCAATCCCTCCGCTAGAGTGAAATGTAGATGAAATGAGATTTAGCCAAGAAAGAGGGGCGTTTTGAGAAGCAATACAAGGCTTCATGAATGCACATAGGTATGACTGCAGTCTAGGGCTAATGTCGCATGTCCTGAATTCCTGTTGCTTGCAAGCATTCTACTGTAGATTGCGTAAGAAAGCCAAATGGAAATTATCTGGTGTGGAGATCATGCTAGCGATACATACAGAGCTAAAAGATAGAAAAACAAACTGAGCGCATGTCGATGAAGTCGATGCAATTTCCCAAACATAATAGAATATAGTTACCCATTTGTCAGTGGGTCTTGTGCCATTACTGCTACGGTTTGGCGTATTATTTAATGGACAGATTCTTCTAGGCAAACCAACTTGCCATTTTAAAAAGTAAAAGTAAACAAATGCTGTGTGTGTTCTTTGGGTTAACGCCTCGGCTGCCCTTCTAGTCTGTGGTACGATCACCACCCCATGGGTGGGGAATCCTTAGCTCATTACACTTGCCCCATAACCAGTCAGACATGGCTTGTAGCCTCTATCACAGGGCTGGGGAACGTTTTTTGGGTTAAGGCCACTGGCCCACAGAAAAATCAGTTGGGAGCCACACGAGTGAGAAGCAGGAAGAAAACCCCTCACTGTGGCCCCTGACGGAGGAGAAAGACACTCCCCACATTGCCCTTGCACACCAGAGCCTGGGGGGGACGACCAGCCTAGTAGATTTTGTACACTCTAGCCCCCAGGGAGGCAGCCGGGGTACTGGAGCACCAACACGGGCTCCCCAGTGCTGGGGGGAGGGGGGACCCTGAGCCTTAGGGGCTGGATTCAGGCAAGCCGGGGGCTGCATCCGACCTCCCCACCCCGGCTCTATTACTAAGCTAAACACAGCTATTACACATCGGTAACCCCGGAACATGCACTGAGAGAGAAACACTGCCCGCTGCATCGTAAAATTTCTCAGCTAAGCTGAAACGCAGCCAGTGAAATAACTTGCATGGATAATAAAAAAAAAATAACTGTTCTTCACCTGGGATGTTAATAACTGGACAGGAGTTAAAGTACTGAGAGAAAAGCTCTGCATTCAAGGTGGCACTCATTAGTATAATACGCAGGTCTGGCCTCTGAGACATAATATCCTTCAGAACCAGCAGCAAGAAGTCACTGAAGAAGACAAGCAAAAGACATCTGAATTTCTTCAGTGTTAATTCCCAAATCTCCTCTCGCCCTAGTCCACTCCCTTCCCTGGCTGTCTCCGCCAGCGTGGCAGCAGCACCATGTCAAGCTGCACTCGCAAGAGTGCCTCTCGGGCGAGGGCCGTTAGCTAGGAATCTGGTAATTCACTGTAAGTGATCTTGAATTACAACCCGCTTTTTGGCTGGGCCTTTCCAGAGTGCCTGGTTTCCTTGGTCTGTTGACTTAGGCTTGTGAGGTAGCGGGGATGGTAGTCACTGTTTGCTTTGTTATGCTGTATGCATGCGACTGCTACTGTCCTGTGCTGTTCTGGTGTTGTGTGCGTGTGCGTCCCCGGCGATAGGATCGGATCTTTAGGTGAGAACTCCTGAGGGACAGCAGGTAAGGAATGGCCCAGGCTGCCCTGTCACCTGACCCCAGGGAGGAAGATGCAATCAGTGATAGACAGATAACACCAGGAAGCAGGATGAAGGAGGGGGTGGGGCTGCCTAGGCGGCGGGGACCAGTTGCTGGGCGTGAGTTCGTTTTTCGACTGGCTGAGGGAGGGGGGAGTCTAGCTGGCTTGGGGGGCCGGGCAGAGTCCTGGCTCTGGGCCTCCTTTTCCCCAAGACAGGCTGTACTGACGGCTCCTGGTCTCTGTCACAACACATCTGTGCGACGCTGTGTCCCCGTCAACGAATAACCCTTCTCTTCTATCTGCCGCCTGAGAGTCCCCTCGCCCTGCGGATGGGGATGCAGGGCCCGGGGACTCCCCCTCCCTCTGTGACAAGACTTAAAACACCACAAACTCTAGGTGCCCTGACAATTAATTAAGCTGAGAACACAGTAACCGCCTCCCAACCATATTAAATAACCACACACATAAATTAACTCAGCCAGCCAGTGAATCAAAGCCCTTTTCACCCCTTGGGAGCAGTCCCACCGTCTTCACCAAAACATGTCGACGACACGGCTTTGGAGGGCATCGAGAGCAGATCACTTTTGAACTGGGGGAAGTTGGGGTGGGGAGTTGTCCAGTCCTGAGGACCCTCCTCATCTCCAGTGACTGCAGTCATGGCAGCACATTGTTGGGAGAGCGGCAGGCAGAATCCAGGCCGCTCGGAGCTGTCCAGGGCATGACCAATGCTTTTAAGCTCACCCAGAATCTCCCCCGTGTCTGTGCATGCAGGGTGCTGACAGGAAGCAGCGTGACTTGTGTAGCTTGTTACTGGGCCGCTACTTCAGTGCTCCCCGCCGTGTCTCTGCTCTGCAGCTATGGAGAAAGGGACTATTTACCTCTCTTCCGTCCTTTCGTGAACTTCATCAACAATGACATGGGTGATTCCCTGTAAAGTCATGTCTCCTTCTAGCCTTCTCAGCAGCACTCCAGTAGTGCAGTACAACAGTCTGGTAGCTAGTGACTGGGACAGGAAGCAAGGACACAAAACAGTCAATGGAATTTCAAATATTCAACGGCCTTCCTGATACAAAGTCCAGTGAGAGCAGTGTGCTGTATATGGCACTCTTGTCCCCAGTGCCTGAACAGCTCTTGCTTCAAGCATGAGCCAGCAATATTTCCGCTCACACTACCCTTAATTCAACTTTCAAAGCAGAGGCCTGCATTTGTCAAGGGGCCATTTTGAAAGAGAAGAATGAATATCTAACCTCTCTCATCTAATTCTTTCCTGCTTCCACAGCTGCATGTTAAAACCTTGGACCATTTGTCTCCCTCAGTGAAGATAAGAGCTACTGTAAGAGTGACGAAACTGGCCCTGGAGGAGGAAGGCTCTCTGTTTCTGATCCCTATTTGATTGACTAGTGAAGGCTTATACAGAATCATCCACGAGTGATGTGTATTTTGTCTAACGGGACAGAGTGCAAAGTTGTTGTATTTGTGGTCAGGGACAGGAAAAAAGAGCAAGGGGAAGGGATGGACAAAACAGTAAACTAAAAATCAAAACCTTTGCAAAACCATCGTTAGCCACTGTACACGGGCCTGATTTTTTTTTCCCCACTCGCAACTTACTTTACATTTTGTTCAATCAATATTTTAGCCCCAGGTCTTTGACTGTCTTCATTTTAGTTTATACTTGACTTCTGCAAATCATAGTGATGCAAAATTTGTCAATAAGGATGACAAAAAAAATCAAATGATAGATATTCACTTTCAACTATCAGAGGGGTAGCCGTGTTAGTCTGAATCTGCATAAACGACGAGAAGTCCTGTGGCACCTTATAGACTAACAGATTATGCTCCAATAAATCTGTTAGTCTATAAGGTGCCACAGGACTTCTAATTGTTTATGCACTTTCAATTAGTAAGTGTGCTTTATCCAACAACAATGTTGGAAGAGGGGGAATGGATGGCCCACAGAAAGTCACTTGAAGGAAGTTAGCTCGACTTCAGCCCGCATCGCTAGAGACTGACGTGCTATGCTTTGATTCCTGCTTGGTGGCTAATGAAAGTGGTTTCATTCCAGTTTCCAGAGGACAAGTATTCATAAGATAAAATCCACTAGCAGTGCTGATTTCTTTGTTGGCTACCTCAGCAGAGGATCTAGCTGACGAACGTATACGGAGATTACTACGACTCTCACTCTAGAAGCCATGCATAAAAGCAAAGCATACAAACCTTTACACTTTCTAAGCGGATCTGGTATCCCACGGTGATCCCCACTCTTTCTGTTCTCTCCTTGGCTACGCGTTCAGCTACAGAAATGGCAGAAATCCTGCGAGGCTGAGTGCATATGATATTGGCTACCCTATTGGGAGGGCCTGTCAGTGAAGAGTCTAGAATGAACTGAGGAATCTGAGTGGTTTTCCCACATCTGCTGCGCAAAAATAAAATAAAATAAAATAAAATACCATGTTAAAAAACATCTTTGGTCAGAACTGGTTAAGAGGGTTGGCTTCCAAGCTGGAGTTCCTTGCTTTTATTCGTTTGTGTCACACATCACATGAAATTCCTGAATAATTCAAAATGAATCTCCAACTGCAGTCATTTACCACTGATTAATTATGCCTCTGAGCTAGGGATGTTGGGATTTCCACTGACGATTCAATTAATCGATAAGGACTAGTGTGCATTCCACCTTTGAAATGTACAAGAGCCCCCGCTGGCCCCGGGCTCCACGCAGCATTCCAACTTTGACGTGTACAAGAGTCCTCGTTGGGGTTCTTGTACGTTTCAAAGACTGCTGTGCCCCTATCCCGTCCCATGGAGCTGGAGGGATCTGGCTTTTAAGCCAGATCCGCCCCCCCAGCACCCTCTCCTCTTCCCTCCCTTGCTGCCTCTTTGTGATAGAGGCAGCAAGGAGTGTGGGGGAAGCGACTAGTTGACTAATGTGTCAACTTTCCGATACACTTTTGCTTATTGGATAGCCAACTAGTTGATTAGTCGCTTATGTCCCTAATCTGAGCATTTGATTATTCCAGCACACGGGCTGCATAATGACACTTCAGATATGCCTTCCCATGTATCGCCTGATACTAGAAATGTTATGTGTAAATCGAATCCTTACCCAGTCATGCCACTCACAACAAGCACTTGGTGTTGAGTCAGCAAATCAAGAATGGTTTCTCTTTCTTCCCATGCAGGAAGCTTCTGTCTTTCTTGCAGCATGGCCTGGAATTGCCTGGAAGACTGACAATTGAGAGAAATTGGTTAGGATTCTCAAATCCTGCCCTAGATTCAGATGAAAAGCAACCATTATAATCATCTAGCCTGACCGTCGGCATAGCACAGGCCAGAGAGCCTTACCAACTAATTCCTGACTCAAACCTTCATTCTGCGGCTGAACGGGGGCATAGCTTTTGGAAAGCCACACCATTTGGATTTAAAGACTTCAAGTGATGAAGGCTCAACCACGTCCATTAGAAAGTTGTTTCAAATGTTAATTACCTTATCAAAAGGTGCATTACAATTATTTTTAGCCTGAATTTATCAAGCAACAATTGCTACATAAGGCAATCTTCCCTTAAACAGCACAAAGTAAAGGGTAGGGTTAAAAAAAAGTTGACTCTCATAGTAAGCAGAAATCTTCCTGTTGCAAACGTGAAGGCCCAAATTGTCAATTTCTACAGAATTTAAGATTCCATTTATAAAATTATTAAGATCAAAATTTTGCAGTTTACAAAGCTGTGAGCAGGGAAAAATAGCATTTGTTTCCATTCGGTTTGTATTGGGAAGATTTATCTTTACAAATAAAAGCTAGAAAGGTAAGCCAATATTTTCAAATTTGCCCGTAGTACTTTTGAAAATTTTACCCTTAAACTACCTTTAAGGTCTTAATCGAACTGGCCTTTTTTTTCCAAACATGCTGAATACCTCTAGCTTTTATTAAACTCCAGATATACAGTGCCTTCTTGCTATTCTCTCATAGCCCTCTGCCACTGTACACTGTCCCAGCTTCTAATGCAGATGATGCATTGTCTAGCTGGGGAAGTTTACAGATAGGTTAGCTTTGCCTAGCAGGAACTATAAGCTGGAAGGATTTCCAAAAAAGAAAACTTCCGCATGCGGTGTATTGACTACCGTGGGGCATTGTACAACTTATAATATTGGCCAACACATATTGCTACATCAGTAAAGTTTACTAGAATACTTGTTACCTTGATTTCAAAGACATGAAATAACACAAAGTGAGAAACACAAATCAGTGAAAATTCAAGCGCTCTCTGTGCCTGCAATGGTGTGAGTAGGGTCTAAAATGACCACTCTCAAACTGAGGGCTGAGGGTCACCTGCTGCAGGCAGAACGCTTTGGGTGAGCATTTTGGGAGGCAAGCGTTATCTACTTGCAAAATAACTAATTTTACACAGAGCGCAATTCCTGCAGAGGCAGCCTGTCATTTCAAATAAACATCACAAAGTCAGATTTCAAATGGGTCTCTCTGCTTTATGCATGGTACCTGTTTTACCCGGAACTGCTTGCAGATTTTAACATTTTCATTATACACGGACTTTGCCTGCACATCAAACTTTCTGGAAAGCTTCTTCTTCAGGTTCACGTAGCTCTCGTTCTCCACAATAACTTTTTCAGGCTCCTCTTCTTCCTCAGCCTCCAACTCTTTTGTGACTTGAGACAGAAAAAGGTGTCAATGTTTAATTCTCCGCAGAGACTGAGGATGCTGGTTTGAGGACTGCGAGTTCCTATATTCAGCCCTGGGCCTCTGCCCAAAAAAGCTGTACTACACCAAGTTTTTAGAATCATAGAACCATAGAGCTGGAAGAGACCTCAGAAGGCCATCAAGTCCAGCCCCCTGCTCTAGGCAGGACCAATCCCAACTAAATCAAGTTTATAGTTGGCCTTCAGCTTTAAAAGCCAACATTCCCAGAACGAGAAGGAAATGCTTTAGACCATAAAGAAGCTGCTTTGAAATCCACACTAAGTTTCAATTTCCTAAACGCTGCCCCCTCTCCATTTGAGTAATCACACCTCTGTAATGGGAAAGTTCCATTATCACTATTCATGTGCTCAAAAAAACCGCTTAAAAGTTTTCACTCAAATTTCCCAAGACAGTTCACCGTAGAGAAGAGAACCACTTTGGGACACTTCATCTCAACAAGGGAAAGTTCTGGGGAGTTATTAGTCATTCAAGACAGGACTGGAATCCAATCTTTACTTACAGGTGGGGCCCTGTGCAAACCACAGTTTTATAGACTGCGCAGAAATCAACTCTGCAATTTTTCCACTAGCAGGGACAGAGAAGGGGCCATCTGCACACACCGATATTGTGCTCAGTGCAGTTTGTTGCGTACAGCAGCAGAAGGTTGAAGAGCACAATGAAGGGGAAGGGAAGAGCAGCAGGATGGATGGAGACTTGGCGTGGGGTTGTAGGCGAGACAGTCGTCAGTGCTGCTGCCACCTGGAAGGAACACACAACTGCACCCAACACAAGACCAGAGCACACAGATGCCTGCTTCCATCTCTCCACTGCTAGAAAAAAACCCAGTGAAGCAACTTGTGGGAGGCAGAGGAGAGGAACAGACTTAGCAGCCTACTTTATGCAAAGCACAGCAGCTAGCAATGCCACGGCTTGGAACATGAACAGCCATGGCCTCAGGAGGAGGGCACGGGGAGGCAGAAGCAAGCAGCCTTGTGGCATACATTCCAAGCAGCAGCCAAGCCAACAGTGGGACACTGCCACACACTATAACTGTAGTGATACAGGGCTCGCATGTCCGCCTCTCCGCTGCTGGAAATATCGCTGCAGTTTGGGTGAGACACAGGTCACTTCTCCACTTATGGGAAGATCAATACTGCGGCGATCGATTTAGCGGGTCTAGCAAAGACCCACTAAATCGAATGCTGAGGGTGCCCCCGTCGGCGCCGATAACCCTCGCTGCTGTTGCAAGGAGTAAGGGAAGTGGACAGGAGCGTTTCTCCCATCGACCTCCCGCTGTAAGGATGGCGCTGAAGCGCAGCTTAAGGTACATTGAATCGAGCTACGTTTTTTATGTAGCTGGAATTCATCTCTTATGCCAACCTTTGCCCCATAGTACCGACCTGGCCTCAGTGACTATACATATTCCGTGTGTGTGGGAGGTGGAGGGGGACTACGACTTTCCAGCAATGCTGCTGTGAATCTTCAAAAGAATGGCCATGATTTCCACAGGGCCTTACATGCAAGGGGCTGCTACCACTCGTGTACTAAATAACACACTCCCACCACTCTCTCCTAGCAAATCTGCTTTTACTTTCTGTCCATGTCACCTAGCCAGCAGTGTGGAGCAATATTACAAACAAGAGGTGGTAATATTAGGAATAGTAATAGAGAGGTAGCCGTGTTAGTCTGATCTTGCTAAAACAAAAGGAAAAACTGTGTAGCACTTTAAAGACTAACAAGATGGTTTTAATAGGTGATGAGCTTTCGTGGGCCAGACCCACTTCCTCAGATCATATTCTGAAAGAGAATTAGCATGACCATATACAGGTAGTCCCCGAGTTACACGGATCCGACTTATGTTATGAACAGGGATTTTCTCGCCCCGGAGGACTCGAGCGGCGGGACACCTGGTCCTGC